CTTCCATGTGTACTGGGAATGTGGATTGCCATTTGAGTTATGCTCTCAGTTCAAACATTTTCAGCTTTATGATTTGGCATTTATTTCAGAAAAGAGAAACTTTGCACTGTTAGCTACTGAAAGCTAATTTTTTGTTTGTTTGATTTGTGCATGAGACTTTGCTTAATTACCTCTAAGAGTAGTTTATGTAATTCTTATCCAAGGAATCTATATAATACTGGCTAGAATGAGATAAACTATTTGCAATGGAGTCTGCTTTGGTGCTAAGCTTTCTTATGGTGTAAACATCAGGCCCAGGGGCTCCACGTTGCAGGTTCAGGCTACTGGCCTTAATGGTGAACTCCAATTTACCAATGGAATTCCACCAGTGTTCATAGAAGCAGCTATGTCTACAATAAAGAGAGAATCTTGCATCTCCTTTAGCATAGTGGGACAACTCTAGCCCATTTGTGAATGTTGAAATGTTAGCTTAGGATAGGCAAACTGTTTTTGGTAAAAGGCCAGATAGTAAATATTTCAGGCTTTTCAGCCATTATATGGTCTTTGACTTGCAGTCAACTCTTCCATTTTCGTGTAAAAACAGCCACAGGAACTGCACAAACAAATTGACATACTTATGTTCCAATAAAACTTTATTCATGGAACACTAAAGTTTCAATTTCATATAAATCTAACATTGCAAGAAAAATTATTCTTGATATTTTCTCTCCTAACCCTTAGAAAGTGTAGTGCATGCAGACAGGACAAAAATGCAGCTGGTTCTATGTGACCTATGGACTTGTTTTTAACATCGTGACCTTTTATACTTCTTTGATTTGAACACAGAGTTTCTTTTGGATTGTATTCACTGTTTCCATAAGTACGTTTCAGACCTGGCCTCTAACCAGAAATTGTATTTGGAAGCTCTTGGAATGGATGTATATGTATAAAAAGAGTTGTTATTCATCAAGTATGCCAAGCGTTAAATGAGCAAACCAACTTGGAAGAATTTATTGTCAACCTTTAAGAGTTTAGGTTTTCATCATTATGTTGTACATTTGACTATGGATTCCTGTTTTTAAAAAGTTTTACTATTTTTATTATATGTGTATGAGTGTTTTGCCTGCTTGCCTGTAAATATACCCATGTCGTGCAATGTTCACGGAAGGCAGGAGAGGGTGTCGCATTCCCTGGAACTGGAATTACTGATGGTTGTTACCTCTCATTTGTGTGCTGGGAATTGACCTTTGGTCTTCTGCAAGAACAGTCAGTGCTCTTAACTTCTGGGCCATCTCTCCAGCCCCACATTCCTTTCATTTAAAGCAAATGTTACAAATAGACTTCACAACCCACTTTAAGGAAGATTGGCTAAATACATTAAAACAAAGACAGAATAACATATCTGGAGATTTAAAAAAAATATTCAAAATAGAGGTTAGAAGCCAGATCCATGAAGCTGTTAGTGACATTTTTTCTTAATGTTTAGTTTGCCTCGTGGTTTTCTTTTACTGTATGCAAAAAGAATAGAACAGGTGTCATGTGTAAAAGCATGATACAACATTGGA